GGGTATAGGCGAACAAGCGTGTAAAAGATGCTCCTAAATTAATTTAAATTTATCATACGAATAACTTGTTCTTAAATATCTTACCTTTGGTAACATGTATCTTCAGCCTTTATCACTGTTGTCATTAATTATAGGATTCGTTTGTTCGGCTTCGAAGATTTTGTTTAATATTCATCTCCGCGGGCCGTATAATTCTTGCGAGATATCGAGCATGCGACAGGTAATAAATTATTGCAGCTGTGCGTGAACAGTACTCGGCAGCACAGAAATATCGGTCAACTTGGAGTAGCCAATTGAATTTTTTACTATTGAACGCTGCTCTTGATATCACTTTTCAAGCGGAGAGTAGTCTTATTTTCATCGACCATTATTTCTGTTAACAAGAAAATTAATCTCAAATTAAAGATATAATAGAGGAAAATCACGTTCCCCTGCCGTTGCTACAAGTATAATAAAGCTAGTGTGTAAAAACTTGGTTCATTTCTCTATGAAGACGTATAGTCGTATCGAGCCCAAATCGGTTAAAGAGCTCTTCGTCCACGCTTATTCGCTTATACTCTTCACAGATCGTTTATTCTGTTTATTTTATTAATACAATATTGAAATAGTCGATATATTAATACGCGGTTGCATAGTACACATTGACTAGATAGTTAGAAAGATTCTCGAACTATGTCGCACTTATCGATACACGCAGTACCATGTGGCGTATATCACAACGAACTATATAAATTAATCAAATACAGCCCAGGCCGCAATTCATACAATATTTACAATTTGCTTTACAGACGTAGAACGTATTCAAATTTCCTACTTGGGCACGAGTCCTCTCGTCTTTGGGTAAACGGGCGGTGGGATCTGTTGGATCTTACCAACGCTCTTAGGTCGTATCTTCGCGGATTGTAATCGTGGCTTTGACCTGAGTTTCGCGCTGGAAGCGTCTACGTCAATGTCACCTTCGTCGCGCAACGCTTCTTCGAGGACAGCTTGAATCGTGGGAGCGATGGTAGGTCCCTGGTAGTCCAAGGTTGTCCTCGCTGGCATGTCAAGGTCTAGATTCAATATATTTTCGCCAGCGTAACGACAACCTCTGCCCATGGCCAAAGCAATTCGCGCATACTCGGAAACTGGTCTACGAGCGCCAGGAATCGACGTGGGCCTCTTTATCGAGTCCATGCCGGATGGCTCTGGGTCTTTGACCATCCAACAGTCCTCCTCCTCGTCGAGATGAATTCTCGACAAAATTTTATTCTTCTCTTCCTCGGGAATGAAATTTTCAATTATTAAATACTTTAGTTTCAACTCCTTCATCAGTTCGTGTTGGGTCTGTTCCAGATCCCTTCTGTCTCTGTTGAAATCGTTGGTCACATCTTCGAGTTCCTGCTTCAGAACCTGCAGCTTAGTGAAACATTTCCTAAGCTTCCTCGATTTTACGTCCACCTCTTGCTGCAGATTCGTGTAGGTTTCCTTCACGCCCACCATCGTTAGCTCCTCTGCCTCTAACTTCTGTTGCATCTCCACCTCTCGTTTCTTTCGCTCGGCAATTTCTGCCGCCTTCTGTTCCAAGGATCTTTGCTGCTCGTTCGTGTGGTCGATGATGTTCTTGCCTCCGCAGAGCATCTTGCTCTCCAAGTCCTTTATTCTCAATACAAGATTCTCCGTTTCTTGTTTCTCCGCTTTCAATTGTTCCGCGATCAGCTTCTTGTCCGTTTCGATTTTGTTGTCCTCGCAGCGACTATCCTCCGTCTCCGATTCCGAATCATCGCCCTCCTTCTTCCTCTTAGACTTCTTCTTCCGCTTCGGCACCGTGCCCTTCTGAGCCAACTTCTCCTTCAGTCGACCGATTTCTTCCTGATACTGTCTCAAAAGAGCATCCTTTGGATCCTCGTTTATCTTAGGCTTGTTCTTTATATTCTTGGCGCGATTCGCGTACCTTAACGTCGTCAGAGTCTCGTCGTAATTATAACTCGCTGGGCCGATATTCGCGACCATGATGGTTTTAGAATTCCCACCCAGAGAGTCTTGCAGTAGTCGAGTGAGCTTGGAATCTCTGTAGGGCACGTGGGTGGTTTTCCCGTCCACCAAAGCCGAGATCACGTTACCTAACGCCGAGAGACTCAGGTTGATCTTGCTCGCTTCCTTGAGTCTTTCGCCAGAAGCCCCAGTTTTGCTCTGTCTCTCGCTACCAGCCAGATCGACCAGGTTCAGACGACCCACTCTTATCCCACCTGTGTCGCCCATGGATCCCATCTCGATGGTAACCAGAAATATCGCGTGGGACCGCGAGCTGTGCTCGTTCATGTTCGTCGCGCCGATCGTTCTGTTCTGGTTCCCCGTGTTCATCAGCTGCTGTATCTCTCCAGCACTCTTGCACACAGAAGTAGAGAGATCCTTGACGAATACCCCCGTGTCTGGTTTCTCCTTCAACTCGAATCGAAGAGTTTGATCGGGCTGCAGGAGATCGCGAATCTCCTCCTGATAAATTTCTAAGTAACTAGCTCGTACCAAGTACTGCATATTCTCCGATCTGCCTATGTGATTGAAAATATGCTCGAAGGACCGTGGTATCACGCCACGTCTCTCATAGTCGTTCTTGGTGCCCTCCATGGTGTACGTTTTCCCAGTGCCAGTTTGCCCGTAAGCGAATATAGTGCCGTTAAAACCGTCAAGAACAGACGACACCAATGGTCTAACCGTCTCCTCGTACAAGTCCAATTGGCTGGAATTCCAGTCGTAGACTGCGTCGAACGTGAAAACTTTCACATTATCGCTAGATGGATCGTCTCGTGGATGGCGAATCTCGACCACTCCCCTCGTTGGAAACACGTCGACCACGCGCGTGTAACCGCGAGCTGTTTCCTTCTCGTCCATCGGCCGACATCGTACGACGACCTGGACGCACTGGGTCATCACCTCCGCCGATGTATTCGACTTCATACTTTTCTTTTTCCAGGTTTTCACTTGATTGTCTGCTTTATCCATATTGGCAGCTGATCACACCTGTGTAACGAGAGAAACGTAACAGTGAGCCAACGGGAAGACCCGACGGGAGCACGACAGGTTCGCAAAAGTGATGATATTGTGGTTAAAAGCGTCAGAAATATCACCGAAACTGATCCTTAATCGAGTGGTAATTCGATTAGAAAAGGTAACAGTATTATTTTGTGTGTGTATGCGTGTGTTAGTTAATGAGTAAATAATGTATGATTCTTCGAGCACGTACAGGTCGCGTGTGCCAACGTTCGCCAAGATTCGAGCACATGTTCCTCCAGGTGCCTTGGTACTTCGTTCGTACGCGACTTGAGGGATTAGCGATATTTGCGAATAAATAAATATTCTTAATAAAAAAATATACAAATTATATTGGTAATTTGTAAAAACTCTTGAAACAACCTTCCTTGCTCATAATAAAAATAACGAATAAAAAATAAATGTTCTGTTTCAAAGACCGATGTTTCGCCAATGTCCCCTGTACAAATGTTATGTCAATATTGACAAAATTGATAAAACGACAACGCCCTGATTAAAGCGAAGCCACCCCCAGATTATCGTATAGTTTTGTTCGGGGTCGTGACTAATAAGCTACTATCTACCCTAAACTGATTATTGTATATATTTTACATTACGAATCCAAGGATCAGACAAAGTGACGTAAAACTTTACGGGTTTTTCATCCATGGCGATATCAGTAGTTTGTACGAATTTCATAAGAATTAATATAACAAAATTTAGTTACAATTATCTCGAATATTTCTCAACTCTTTTTCATTCGAGATACTTATCGTTTGCAAACTCTGTCACTTTTCACATGAAATGAAGCGAAAGTTAGATACGAACACCTTAACCAAACACTACGCGATACGTTCTAACTGTCGTGACCGAATTATTGTCTCGCAAACACCTACCTTTTCAAGCTTTCAGGCACGATAAGGTCCCAGGTTACGAAAAAGCGTTACAATAAACCGACGATTTTTCGTCGTATCCGCATGTTACCCTCCTCCGCAAAGTATTGATCCATTGTTTGCTTTCCAGGATTCACACTGTCAACACGCGCTCTTTTTTTATACACACTCGTCGAATCGATCTTGTCTCGAATGCGATTAGAAAGCCCGGTGACAATCACGTTTTAACGTTTAATCTAATCACTAAGACAGTACGCGATGCATCGTGACCGAATACAGGAACAATCATATCATATTTTGACAGCACAAAGCCATTACGGTTAAGCCTGCGCAATGAAGTCCTCTCACTGGTTTCCATGAACATACTGAATCGATCTCTCGCTTGACCCTCGAGTATTCTATTCGAGATAGACGCATTGCGGTGGATTCATGAAACTCTTTAATAGGAAATTTACCTTACCGACGGCTTGTCGCATTCTTTCCATTTTTTTTTAAACTAATTTATCAACACTCGAATAAATTATTTACAGCCAGTTACAGTTTTTAGTAAAAGTTAACTTATTTCGAATATTTTTACAGCTGCAACACTTCGATATTATTTTTTAATAATTATTTATTTAATTGTATTTATATTGATGTATTGTGATATTAATTTATATAATAATTTACTTTGAATATAATGTATTCATTCACGTTCGTAAAATTGAAATCATCAGCTGATAAATACTGAGTTTGCGTAGTAATTGCGTTTGGCAGGAAGTATCTACTCTAGTATATTTTGATCAAAATTACGCTAACGATACAAATATTAAACATGTGTTCTTATTTCGCAATTGTTTCTTAGTAACTACGATCTTTTTTAAGTATATACGTTATGTTCATAAGTGGAATTACATCGATGCAGTTTATATGTTTTTAATTGAGAACCTATCTTGCGAATAAAGGTGAAGATATGAATATTTTATTAAGTAATTTTTCAACCATGTCCATACAATTATTATTCTATCATATTTTTTCAATATTTGAAACAAATTAATAACAAAGTTAACCTATAATGTACACGAATTCCTTATCTGTAAAAATGAATTTGTGTCAAGGAAGTGACGTTGTGTATTGTGGCTAGTTTCATACTGTGCAAGTCACCATCTCGAAAAAGTACTGCAATAGTATTATTTATTAGAAAGACTGCTCCGTTAAATTAATAACTGAAATCAATGTCGAAAAACTGGAAGTGTTACGTATAAATCCATCGTGAAGTTAGTGCATCCCATTAAATCAATGAAAATAGAAACTTTATAGATAAAATGTTGGAATGAAAACTGTAACATACTCGATAATTTAATATTAAAGATTACTTCGGAAATTATTTTCGAACAAATATGTTAGACAGTACATCGTTTGAATACTATATATCGTGAAATGAAAAAGGAATAAATTAAGAATTATTGCTTCTTTGGATATTTTATTTATTTTTAAATGCATGTACAATGTTGTTTTTCTCTTTTTTTTTTTTTGTTGTTTATTTATTTAGTCATGTCTTTTTGTTTCAGACAAAATGAAATTGTGGCTAGTAGTAGCTCATATTGTACTAGTTGCCACAAATGTATGGGTGACGGCACATTTCCACGAAGAACTTCCAGAAGACAATGAATTTGCTGAATTTGAAGACTTTGAAGAAGAGAAGCCAACTCAGTCGATTAATGATCATGGCACAGAATATTTTAAAGAATCAAATAGTAACCAAGATTTTGAAGAAGAAGATGTTTTGATCGTTGATAATGATAGCGAATTCGATCACTTTGATGAAGAAGAGTTCGAAGGGGTAGATGCTGCTGGTACAAATAATGGCCCAAAAACTGATGAACCCTCTACATTAACAATTACAAAAATACCGCTACATTTGCGTGCAAGATGGGACAGCTTTTACTTGGAAATACTAATGATCATTGGGCTATTAGTCTACTTCATTAATTATGTAGCAGGTCGTTCCAAAAATGCTCGCATAGCAGAAATGTGGTTAGTGGAGCATAAACAGATGTTACTCGATAACTTTTCTCTCGTCGGTGATACAGGAAAATCAAACGAAGACATAACCGAGAATGGTTTAGTAAAAGAAAGTCAATCGCACTACAGTTTATATTGTTCAGGACGAGTTGGTTGCGATTCCATGTTAATCGAATTAAAATTAATTAAGAGACAAGATTTAGTAGCAGTGTTAGCGCAACTTGTGCGACCTCAAAATGATCAAGCACTTATACGTATAGAATTAGCAAAAGATGAAACAGATAACTTTGTGCTAGCGGTAGCTACGAAACGAACCGCGATTCATTTAACGCGCGATATGGCTGATATCAGCGTCTTCTGTCCAGAAAAAAGGCCAGGAGAAAAATTTGGTCTTCCACCAGGGTTTTATGTAATGTCTGAAATTGCCGAAGCCGCATCTGCTATTTTAGACACGAGAGTTTTACAAGCATTTACGAAGTTTGCGCCGTATATAGATTATATACATATTAGTGACCAATTTAGCGGCCCCAAGCAACAAGAGTAAGAATCGTATTTCATTAATATTTGTCATGGACGTACTGCACTGTTTCTTTTGTGATACTATGTCTTCAATTCTGCTTTAGAGATACAACTCAATTAACAATGCCCGAAGTAAAGAGAGTTTTACTTGTGGGACTGAATATCAGTATTAAAGGGCGCACTACTAATGCAGAAGGACAAGAAAAATTGAAACTTCTTTTGCAACTAACATTTTATTTGTTAGATAAATTACGTCGTTTCAAGCTATCTAAAGAGGTTAGATATTTTTTCGTAAGATTATATTATCCTTTTATTTATTCTGTTAAAGACATTTTACATTTTTATCACTATTTAGGGTAAAAGTAAAGCAGATAAGAATAGATTGAGAGTGGAGGAAGCATTCTTAAAAACAACTCATGCCGCTAGAGCCGAAGCGGCCGCGCAGCGAAGAGAAGAACGTCGCAGGGCCGAAAAGGAACGTATCTTACAGGAAGAAGACCCTGATAAACAAAGAAAGTGGGAAGAAAAAGAGCAACGAAGACTTACTAAAAAGAGAGCACCTAGAATGAAGCAGCTTAAGGTGAAAGCATTATGACCTGATACAGTTAATTATACAGAAATCATTGAAACATTTAAAGAGCCATGAGTTGCTCGATCAAACTGCCCATTTAATTTAACTTGTCTAGTAAATCTATATTTCAATCATATTCATACTTCTCTTGGAGTCATCAAAATTTCATTAATCAATTTTCATTCAAATTTTACAACAAAAATCTATAACTAAGTATAACATGCTTCAAATTCATCTCTGGATAGTTAATTAATTATATATAAATATATATAAACTTACTACTTTGTTTTCCTGTTAATAATATATCACTACTGTTATATATTTATTTGACGATATAAACAATATAACTTTTTAAATGTCATATGTATTGAATATATGATTTATAATTTAAAATGAATTTTGCTTTTATGAGAATATTAGATATATATAACTGTTGTTTCTAAGCAATATTAACAGTATTTATTACACAATTTATTATTTAAATCTATCTTTTTGTGTGGCAATCTTATAGTATTACATTTTTATAATACAAGTAAAAAACAGAATTAATTTTCTGAGTGGTATTTTTCTTATTTACTATTATTATTATTATTATTATTATAAACCATATTGATTTCACCCACTTTTCATATTTCATGAAATGCATTTTTATCATTTCTTATTTTTTTCGATATGATAATCCTCCATTGAGCATTGAAATGTGGATTATTATTATTATTATTATTATTATTATTATTATTATTATTACATGTATGAAATTTTCAAGAAATATGAAAATACTAACATATAAATCCAATATCAGCATCATATTTATATTTATTTAACCATTTAGTATTAAATATAATATTAAACATTATTTCAGTGTATATGAAATGGAGATGTATTTGTAAAATTTTGTTTCAACCTTGTATTTTGATTAAATACTGTTCCGTCCCGGAATTTTATTGTCAATCGAATATTGTATACGCAGAGTCTGAAGCCGCCTTAATGGAGGGATTTAGGAGGACCATCAGCTTAGCGACCCTTGTAAACTCGACGTACTGGTCACTTCATGCTGGTACCCTAAACTTTATATCTTGGACGAGCAAACATTCCTCGATTCTCTCTATTTTTTCCATATTTTCATAAGTCCGCATTCCAAGAACAGCTCCACACTTTCTTCCTCGCCCTTCGAACAACTTAGATCCTCTTTACAGCCAATTAATCCTTAGATTTAGGTTTCATCAGTTTAATTACGCTAACAGAGGTAACAATTTTTTGTATACGACAATACACGAATCAACCGAGCACTTGTACTTGCAATTACAATACACACTCTGATACACTTTCGAATCGTATCTCATTCTTCGCTCAGTATCCTTAAATTCAATAAACTCAATCGATGGGGCACGTGTTTTTTCCTCGTCAGCCACAACATCGCGTCGAAGTCAACACTCAATAATCAAAGAGACAAACACGACGCAACGAGTACCATAAATATTATTGTCGAGAGATCTCTTCATAAGTACTAATCAGTCAATTTTAATATCTAATAATATTACAGACTAAAAAATATTTTATGCGTGAAAATATTATAGCGTTTAAATTTTCTGCAGATCCTTATTTTTCAACGCCATACTTAATATAGATTAAAAAGTACAAGCAATACATAACATACTGTGATATTTAATGTTATGATAATTGTTACCAAAGTTAGGAATTATGCAACAGGTTGGAATAAAATCAGGGATCGAAAAAAACTATATCTTTTATTATTTTTTTTTAAATTCTGTCTAAACCTTTCCTCGTTCGTAAAAAAAAAAGATATTCATTCTGGTGACACAAATTTATTATATCCTTTATTACATTTATATAGAAATATTTATCCGAGAGTAATTTTATTTACAAAAAAAAACAACTTATCACAATCAGCTTGCATTGAAATTATAAACGTTATATATTTAATTGTTATATGTGCATTCAGGTACAGAGTATTTCACACAGCATACTGTGAATTGTACAATCTTTTGTTACTTTCGATTACAGTTTTACAGAATGAAAAGTTATTATCCGACACAAAGTCGGCGATAACAATATTTAATCCACCCTGGCCAGGTCGTTGTTGACCTATCCAAGAAAGAATTACTTTTTTGCATCTCGGTATTAAATTCATCTGCAGTGTTCCGCACAGATGTTTCAACACGTAAGAAGTGTCTGGAGTTAAAACGCACTGGGACACAAAGCCAATTTCCAAAGGCCTGGCCCGCATTTCTATATTCAAGAAATCTATAAGTCGGTCGACACGAACAGTGTCAGGCCACGGTGTGCGCCACAAGGCACTTGGCCACAAAGTTGAGTAACTTTGGGCATAAGAGTTTCTGTAAATAACGATTACTTGATACTTTTCTAAATTAAGCCGACGCAGCGTTATATGCTCGAAGCTAGAAGCTATTGGGCACAATTTTCTCTGAAATATACGGAAAATTGTTTCCACCAGATGCCGATGATTCGCTTCCGTGAACGAATAAAAGTGTTGAAAATCTAAGACTACAATTTCATTACTGTGGGAGGCCAGCCATTCTGCCACTTCTCGCAGTGGTTGATATATTGTCGATCCGTACAAGCCGTGTAAAAAATAAATATCCTCGTTGGTTGGTTTTGTGGCAACACGCAAGTCCAAATATCGGATTCCACCGTTGAGCTGGTCCTTAATATCGGCGAGTTGTGTAACAGACCAATTAAAAATAATAGGTTTTGAGAAGACCGAGCAGTAACGGCCGAGTGCCCTTATGTAGTTTGGCTCATCGGGCCCCACGTCGTTACGTCGATTTATAGTGTAAGTCATCGTATCGTGGGAACCTGTTACGAGTGATCAGTACATATTATCCACACGCATTAAATCTGTTATTTTCATCGCACGAAATTAACTTCTAAATCAGTAGTTCCCAAACATTTGATGTTTTATTTCAAAAATTCATTATACATTCGCGTTTAAAATTTATTTTAAATCTTCTTACAATATACAATCAAGAAAAATAATAGAGATATACAATTTTTATGAAGTATATGTACGTGTAGAAATAAAAAGTTTCTGCACAGAATTTGAATTTCTTAACACTCCAGGACAACTGTTGATCCGCTGTGTCCATCTCTATGCGTGATGGCTGTTTAATATATTATTATATACAGTGTACACTTTATGCAAAATTTGAATGCATTACTTTCTTCTTGTAACGAAGGAGTCAATGTAATTGGGACAAAATTCAAACGTTTCGATTGACATACCAGGTATCGCCAGGTGTATTATGGGTATCTCTTTCACAGCTTCCGGAAGTCGAGTCATCCAGTTCTCTAGTTCTTCGTTCGAAGTGATCTCTTTACCTTCGGTTGTTTGCAGAAAACCACTTTTATATTCCATGCTTGTAGTTTACTTTTTGCCACCCAGACGTTTTTGAAGAAATTTGTATACAGGAATCAGTGAACGATCACGAGTAAAAGGAACTACGTAGGCGTACGCCACACAGACACCGAATGGTTCGTTACTTCATGATCTACATCCTTTATATCACTTTTTCAACCTAACATTCCCACGGTGATATCATACCAATTACCTTGCACCTTATTCCCGCGCGGAACAACTGGATGGTACAGATTCGTAGAACCTAACCTCATGGCCATTCGATTATTCAGCGTCCCTCTTTTGTACAATCGAGAAGTTAACTCCGAGAATGATCAACACACGTGATCTCGATGTTGATATATGTATGTTTGTTAAAAACTTTGAATCCGTAATGTTTATTACGAGATACGAGACGTTAAAACACATTCAATACTAATTTAATAATTTATAACTCTACAATCATAATTTAATGTGTATATTAAACGTTTCGAACGTTTAATATTTGATTCTCGGTGTACAAAGTTCGGTTAATCTACCTAATTAACGACAGAAAATAATATGAAAGAATTTTTTTACGAAGAACAAAATGATGAAATTTTAAGGAATAGTAAAATTAAAGGCCCACTGTTTTTATTTCGTAAATGTTATATTTTTCTAACTGTTTAGTAAAAAATACTGTTTGTTACATAGAGTTGCACGGTATAGAAACATGTAAAAATATTGCAATTTCTTCATATTGTCGTAACGTTTATAGTAGAATAACAGTAACAATAATAAGTTTTACAAAAGCTCACATATAATTATCAGTTTGGACAGTATTGCTTCTAATACATCTTTTCAATGATCTTCAGAATACTTTTGAAATTCAACAACTATTTAGTAGTAGTAATATTAAATTTGCATCTATTACATTAATTTTCTGCTTTTGTTATCTTTAAGTATATCCCTCCCTTCGGTGCTAATAGAAAAGCACCTCTGTCAAATACGTACGGAATCATTGTTTTTTCGCAAACATCGACTCTGTGATTGCGAAGTATCTTTATCAGTCCAACTTTTGATTGGAAGACTGCAAATCGTGCGCCTGAAAATTGACAATGGTCAAAAATAAAAATGTATTAATAATACCTTCGAGTAAAAAATCGTTTATTTATGGATTTAACGGGGGAAAAAATTATTCTGTTTACGTACCAATGCAATTCCTTGGGCCATCGCCGAAGGGTAAATAATTCATGGGGTGGCGAGCCGAAGCAGCATCGTCGTCAAATCTCTCGGGCATAAAAGCATCTGGATTTGGGTAAATCTTGGGATCTCTATGAATAGCAAATAATGGTATCCACACCATAGTTTTGTTTGGTATCGTAAGTTTCGTACTCTCGAAAGTGTAATCGCTGATAGATTTTCTCATCAATATTGGTCCAGGTGGATACTTTCTTAAAGCCTCTGTTTAGATAAACATTTAGCTTCGTTAATTTTTCCGTAAGTCTTGTTCAATTAAAATTTTGTTTTCGATTGTCCTAATTTTCTAAATGACTCCTAAGATATTAAATATAATTATTTGCCTAACGAAGCTTGTAAGAAATAGGTTTATGTACTCTGCCATCTAGTAGTATGTTTTGGAGGGTATGAATTTTATGATCAAGGAATACCTCGAAATACTTTATCCAAATACTTCATATCTTTGATCTGTTCGTATTTTAATTCGCCATCGTTGTTATCACAGTATTCCCTGATTTCTTTTCGCAATTTGTCCTGTACATCAGGATTTAGCGCCAGTTCATAAAGGGTGTTGCTCATCGCTGACGAGGAGGTCTCGAAACCGGCGATGAAGAAAACAAAAGCTTGCGCAGTCAGTAAAGTATCCGTTAATTCTGTAAAAGAAGATAAGAATGATCATCGAAAAAATATTGTAAGTAAGGCGGGTGCAGGTTTATTCCACGACATTGTCGTACTTACTAATATTTTCCAGCTTATCGGGGTGTTTCTTAAGTTCTAGAAGCATATTGATGAAGTCAGGCCTGACAGTTTTACTTTCTTCTCTATAGTTCATGGTGTCAACAACGACTTTCGTGAAGAACGTTGTGATATCCGACGGCGGTACTATGTAACCAAGTAAATTGTAAAACCACGGTACAGCTTGTCTCATTCGGAATCTCACCAATTGCCAAAAAGTAGATGCGAACACCTTTTTGCCCATTCGACGAAATTCACTTTCCTGGTCGGACAGTGCATTCGTTTCAATCCCAAAAGCGCAGCTACCGATTACGTCGGTTGTATACTTTGCCGTTAATTCGCGACATTCCACCGGTTCTCCTTTCGCCACCAATTTTTCCAAATATTTATCTAAGTGTTCCGAGCATTCTACTATGAGAGGAAACATCTCTTTGATTTTGCCAGACGTAAACACTGGCGAAAGTCTCGTTCTCAGCGGTCTCCATCTTTCTGGTTCTAAATTGAATAAATGCGGAGAAAGTGGTTCCATCTGGAATTGTAGAAATTAAATGTTTAGTTATTTAAATGTAACCAAATGAATCCGATAAATGTGCATCATTAGCAAGTTTTATCTACAGGGTGTCCCAAAAGTCGGGGAGGAGCCGGAAATGGGGGGTAGCTGAGACGATTCTGAACAACAATTTCCTTTGCAAAAATGTCGGATGGGGCTTCGTTAAGGAGATATTAAGCGAAAACCCCGACCAATCAGAGCGCGCGTAGACCGTTGGAGCGGCCGCGGTAGCGAAGGCTACGCGCTGGCGGCCGCGCTTGTACGCGAACAAGTGACTCGACGTGCATCGAAGGACATTGACGCTACCACCTAGCGCGTAGCCTTCGCTACCGCGGCCGCTCCAACGGTCTACGCGCGCTCTGATTGGTCGGGGTTTTCGCTTAATATCTCCTTAACGAAGCCCCATCCGACATTTTTGCAAAGGAAATTGTTGTTCAGAAACGTCTCAGCTACCCCCCATTTCCGGCTCCTCCCCGACTTTTGGGACACCCTGTATATTGCGGAAGACATAACTCTCCACCATACGAACAAAAAAGAATCGTTTACATTATAATCATCTGATAATTACGAAAGGAAACCTGACACAGCACGTTATGCCGTAGAGAGAATTCAGAAATGCTTTGACAGTAGCGCCGATATTACTTTCATCAGATATTTAAATAAACCATTAGCCGGTTATGAATGATATTTGAACGTAAACATAACTCAGTCTTAGTATTTATGAAGTATCTAATCTATTGACAGTGGTATTTATAGCGGCTTAAAATTAATTTAGATTTATTTAGCCATTGATAGACGGTAGAAACTGCGCGATATATAGCTATCGAAGACAGTTGCGATTACCATACCTTTTCATTAACATTGATTCCTCTATCAGCAAACTTAGAGAAATCTCTTATCAGAACGTCTTTTATCGCATCCGAATCGTGAAGAATAAGGACGGGCGTTCTCCTCGTAAATATTCCGATCATCGGTTCATTTCTGTATTCTTCGTAGAGCTTTTTCAAGTAGTCGGCTAACGACGTCCTCAGCAACATAACGTCCTTTATGTTACCGAACGGCGGAGCAGGTTTCGGCCCCGGAACATTGCGAATTTTCCAAAAATCGTAAGGCGAAACGAAGTAATAGTAGACCGCGAGAATCAACGCGGCGATACCGCAAAATATTTCTAGGTAGCTTGGCATTGTTTCTCCGCGATCATAGTCCAGTGAACGATGAGATTTAACGAATCAAATTCTCTGCATAGTAATATTATTATTATTATTATTACTCTAGTCCTAAACTCGCTTAGATTAAATTCTTGCACGGAAAAGTTCTATTACCAGTTACTCTGGCTAGTCTTCGCAAATACTTACAAACGACTCTCGCATCAATATTCCACTTTACCTTCAAGAAATATAGATAATTAAATTTCATAGCTGCAGTTAATTTGAAAACGCACACGTTTGATATCAAAGTGATAGAAGTTTGTAATTTTATTTTTTAAATATAAGCATATTATCCATTACGCAGTTGCTAATAACGCATATCTCAACAAACTTCTGGTTTTTACTTCTTTATTAACGAATAGAGGAACAATTTATTCATAAATTTTCATACCATTAAACTCGCATTTGATGTAAAGACAGCATCACTTTTTATGAAACTTCATGCAATGTTTACACTTCATATACTACTCGAATAAAGAGAGAAGCTAACACACAACCGTATTGCGTCATATCAATCAAACTGCGGATAACTGAATAATGCGTTATCATTAATGCAAGTCACGGTACCAAGAAAACACGAGAGAACGAAAAATCCATACCTGAGTACCTTTAGAGAGAAGAAAGAACGATGCACTCTACGACACGGAATCTAGCGGACTAACTCGATTTGAGGAAACTCGGAGATAATGGACCCGATCGTAAATTGTTATCTTCACTTACAGATATTAGTGTGAAGGTTAAATTGCACTCTCACACTAGGTTAACATCGTTGTCATGGATGATTGTAAGATGTGTAGAAGGAGTATTAACGTCGGAGTATGTAATTGTTTAGCTAAGTCTATACACGCCGAACAGAGAAGCTACTATCAGTGCCACTGTGGTGACTCCATTTGTTGTGGGATAGATCCGTCGCGCAATGAGAGTTTTCACTCACGTACTGCACTACCGACTTCAACGATAATGATTGGCCTGAAACGTACTCGTCGTTCAAGAATGCCAGCTCTGGAAATCCTGTTCACCTGAAATACCGACGTCGGTACCGCTGGTACCTTCTTGGTATCTTTTAAGAATCGATTTTTTCTTTACTTCGCTGGGATTCAATTAATATTTTACTATCCAATCTAATTACAATTGGCGAGGGCTGTATTCCACGAATAACAGTCTTCCACAGCAGATAACATTCGCCATTACGAGATGAGGATTATATAAAATGACCGGTCAATTTCATAGATATTCCATAATTTATCACATTTACCAACTTTAATGGGGATTATGCCCAGTTTATTACAATTACTGTCACATATATCTCGACGTAGTTTTGTCAAGACCATTAACGCGTGTACGTGAACCTGAACAGACTTTGGGAAAATAAAACAGTACGGACTTTATTCGTCTCCTTCTCGTCTCTTTATTTTGAACGACTTCGAGTAACTTCACTTCTGCAGTGAACGCCTGCGTTTGATTAATACGATATAAATATACGTGTACTTCGCAATTACACGATTGGAAAACTGGAGTTTTCTAATGCTTTTGCTCGAATCACATCTTAACATAATTAATTTAATTTTCCACTTTACTTATCTTCAAACGTAGTCCTCCTTTCGGGCTCAGTACCAGGGAAATGGGATTCTGAACGTATGATGTAATTGTTTCGTCGCAAAGGTCGAACTTGAAATTTTGTAGCATCTTTATGAGGCCTACTTTGGTTTGGTAAATTGCAAATCGAGCTCCTACAAAGAGAATTAAAAACAGAAGCTCTAGAAAACATTGAAATATCGTTTTTAAAATTACCAATGCAATTCCTCGGTCCATCGCCGAAAGGTAAATAACTCATAGGATGTCTTGCAGCAACTGCATCCTCGTTAAACCTTTCAGGGTCGAAAGTTTCTGGGTTTGAATAGACACTTGGATCGTGATGGATCGCATATACCGGAATAAGAATTCTAGTATTCTTAGGAATTGATACTTTTGTATCATTAAATGTATAATTTTCGTTATTTTTTCGTCTTAGAATCATTCCTGGTGGATATTTCCTAAGCGTTTCTGTCAAGTAGAAATACAATTTAATAAATATTTTGGTGGTCAAGTCATTTTAATAGTAAAACGATAACTTCGTTCGTTTTTTCACTAATTATATTTCTAATAGCATACGCATACCTTTGAATACCTTGTCCAGATATTTCATTCCCTTCACGCTCTCGTAGTCGAAATCTCCATTAGTTTTTTCATTGCATTCTCTAATTTCTTCTCGTAGTTTATCCTGCATATGAGGGTTCAGGGCCATTTCGTAAAGAGCATGACCGATAGTCGTCGAAGACGTCTCAAAACCGGCCGCAAAAAACACGACAGCTTGTGCAGTGAGAATAGTGTCCGTAATTTCTGGAAGATAAAATCTGTACCCAGTCTTTCGGGAAAAATTCATATACTAGTAGGTAAATGATTTAACGTCCGCGTACTTACCAATATTATGCAGTTTTTCTGGGTGGTCCTTCAGTTCCATGAGCATATTTACAAAGTCAGGCCTGACAATGTTATTTTGTTTCCTGTAAGCCATAGTTTCAGAGATAACTTTCGTGAAGAATATATTGACTTTTGATTGTGGTAACAGACAACCAACTATTCTGTACAACCACGGCATAGATTCTCTAAAGGCTAGCCTCACGAGCCTCGATGGACGAAACGTAAAGATCTCTTTTCCCATTCGTCGAAATTCGCATTCCTCCTCCGAGAGCGCGTTCATATTGATTCCGAACGCGCAGCTTCCAATTACATCGGTAGTGAATTTTGCCGCCATTTCACGGCACTCCACCGCCTTTCCTTCCTCCGCTAATTTCTCCAAGTATTTCTCTAATTGTTCCGAGCATTCCAGTATCAGAGGAAACATCTCTTTGATCTTGCCGGACGTGAACACTGGCGAGAGTCTCGTTCGCAGCGTTCGCCATCTTTCTGGCTCCAAATTGAAGATATTCACGGACAACGGCTCCGCCTGTGTTAACGTAAACGAAGAAAAATATCTTATTTCGAGAAACAGATGCTTCAAGGCTAATTAAAATTTTTGAAATTAAGCTTGAACAGCTAAACAACTTTTACTTCGATCGTTCTTTTTCTACCATTCAGAATATTCAAGTTATTTAGGCGACCTGTTTTGTATGTCCAATTTTGCGTACATACTTTTTCGAAAACGTTGTTTCCTCGGTCATCGAACGTGGAAAAATTTTTGATAAGAACGTCCTTGACAAGATTCAAATCGCACACAACCAACGTGGGCGTTCTCCTCATAAACATCCCGATCATGGGTTCGTTTTTATATTCATTGTAAATTTTCGTCACATAGTTGCCCAACGATTGTCTGGCGAATATGATATCTTTGATATTGCCGAATCCGATTATCGGTTGAGGTCCAGGCACACCGCGTCGTTTCCAGAAGTCGAAGGTGGAGGTGAAGTAATAATACAAGATGACCAACACTGCAGCAATCGCGCTGAATACTTGAAGGTAGTCTGTCATCTTGATTAATACAGTCGTTATTCGCGACCAGTCGACAGTTCACTGAGGAATGTTGATTCGAACTCGAGTCTAGATAATTATTATTACATGTAAAAAGCAGTCTTATCGTGTATCATTCTTCTTAAGTTCAAAGACTTATTTGCAGTTTTGTGACGAGTAAGCGCGAGGGATTATTTTAAGATAATCAATTGGACGTTTTCTACGTATTTGTAAAGCCGAAATGTAGCTTCTGAGGATTTCGTTTCAGTTAGAGATAATGCTAAGTGCGGGATCTATAGTCATAATTGGCGAGAACGTAAATAAAATGATAAGGTGTTTAAGAAAAGTAGTAGAAACCGTTTGTATCGACGAAGATAAATCGAGTCACGAGAGACGTAACACGACTGGTTATGACTTGCTTCGATTTCTAAATTGAAATAAAATCAATTGGAGGCTTGAGATCAATGAGAATTTATCGAATTCATCGGCCTAGGTTCGCCATTTATTAAACGTATAGAACAAACTTGTGTGACATAAATGCAAAAGCGATGTTAGTTTTATGATGATGTGGCCTAAAGAGGTCAATTGAAGTTAATCAAGTTATATAGATACGGAGCAGAGAGCAACTAGTAAAAAGGATGAAAATGGCTGCGTAGTTAAAGGAACTAAGAGGAAAGCAAAGATGAATCGATATTAATAACAGTAATAATGATAATGGTAATATAATAACGATGAGATTAAATAACGTGTGACTTACAAATAAAGCAACGCAATACTGTCACGGATGATGAGCGCAAACGTGTTTAACTGTTACATACTTACATAGCTACACGATTACGAGCAGTGGCGTACCGAAGATTTATACGCCCTTGGGGAACAAAATCGAAACTCCTACTTTCATCCAAATGCAACGTAACAAAATGTACAATTATCTGAATAACGTAAACATGTGTCCTTTTGCGATTTCTTCATCTAACAATTAATATTACAATATTTTTGCATCGCTCGTCACTCGCTATTCACTAGAACTGACATCAATACACGACTTCCAATGATCTATACACGTGCACGGAGAAAACGGCTAGATTAAAAACGGCTAATCATCCTGAGTCACGCTATAAAAGATATCATTATTGTTTCACTGAATCTTATCGGAAAATATTCTCCTGTATCATAACGGACTGTGTAGATGGAAAACTGCGAGAAACTCGACAGAATTTAAGATCAGAGCGGGAAAAATTCGTAGTTCTTCTTTTTCTATACTTGATTTAATAAAAATAGTACAAGTACCCAAATAACAACTACGAACTAGTTTTTCTATTATTACATACGCTGCTCAAAATGTAAGGAAATTCACGTGTCAGCCATTCTAAAATTTACTGCTTATCCTTTGTAAAAAGATATGCGTCGGAATTATTCATGTTCGATCACTCGCTTAAAAGTTTTTGATAAGAAGGGTTTGAAAAAACGTCAGAAAAAAATGTTGTACTACACAAAGATATGCTGGTTTTATTACAAAATTATAAAGTTATACATTCAGTTTAAAAGATGGCGTCTGTTTCTATTTCACAAACGCTCTGTAACTAACGCTTTCGTTCTTAAATATATACGTGTACACAAAATCATGAATATTTCTTTAATATTTACACAGACTTCGATAGTCGATGTTTCATTGCAATGTTGTTTTTAATCTCGTTACCTGTGATAGTATATTTTAATTTTCGTAAACATATATGCATTGAAAATAAAATTTATAAAAGTCATTCTGCTTTCGTGATAGACAAATACACGCCTCCTTCGAGTGCCAACAGGAACGACTCTTTCATAGCTTTGAACGGAATCGTTGTCTTTTCGCAAACGTCGACTTTGTGGTTTCGAAGAATCGTAATGAGTCCAACTTTGCTTTGGTAATGCGCGAAACGGGCACCTGAAAGTATACGTTTGAACAATATTAATATTTGAATTGTATACACGTACCGATACAGTTTAATTATATTACGCGTACCTATACAGTTCCTTGGTCCGTCACCGAAGGGTAGATAACTCATAGGATGTCTGGAAGCGACAGCATCATCGGTAAACCTCTCAGGGTTAAAAATCTCAGGGTCTGGATAAATTTGAGGGTCATGATGAATTCCATGTACCGGTATCCAAACTATCGTATCTTTTGGAATGGTGATTTTTGTGCCTTTGAATGTGTAATCTTCGGATACTTGTCTCTCTAGTACCGACAGTACGGGGTACTTTCTTAACGTCTCTGTGCGAACAAAAATATTTAATCGTAAATTTGTAGAGCTTACCGGTTTCGAATCAGCTCTAGAATAAATGTTATTCACTTTTCTGCTTGAGCGTAATCTGTTGGAAAATACGCACCTTGGAACACTGCGTCTAAATATTTCATCCGTTTCACTTTTTCGTACGTTACCCCCTCCTGACACGTCTCCCTGATTTCTGCTCGTAATTTGTCCTGTATTTCTTGATTTTGGGCTAATTCGTACAGCGCAAAACTTATCGTCGTCGAGGAAGTCTCGAATCCAGCTACGAAGAAGACGAACGCTTGCGACGCGAGCAGCGAGTCGGTCAATTCTGTGAAATGCAAAAGCGATTCCGGTAAGAATTCGATTAATCGCTTATTGAACGATTGATTCGGTACAGTGATATCTTCGGGTACAAGACATAGAACATTTTTAAGCAAAATTTGAAACCATTTACCAATGTTTTCTATTTTATGTGGGTGTTGCTTAAGTTCCATCAGCGTGTTGACAAAATCGGGTCGAACCACGTTGTGTTTCATCCTATACTTTATCGCGTCAACGATCGCATTTGTGAAGAATTCGTCAATGCCTGGTGGTTGCAATACACCACCAAAAATACTATACAAGAACGGTGCAATCTGTTTACAGGCATTCCTAAGCGATGTTCTAGTAGAAGGCAGGAAGATTTGTTTGCCCATTTTACGAAATTCGTTGTCTTCGTTCTTAAACGAGCTCATCTCGATACCGAAAGCGCAGCTACCGATTACGTCGGTTGTGAATTTTCCTGACAAATCGCGACATTCCACGGGTTCTTTGTTTTTCGCCAATTTGTCCAGATATTCTTCCAAATGATTCGCGCACTCCACCACGAGAGGAAACATATCTTTCAGTTTGCCGCTCGTGAATACTGGCGAGAGTTTTGCCCTCAACGGTCGCCATCTTTCAGATTTCAGCAGGAAGAGATGTTCTGACAGCGGTTCCACCTTTGAACAATTTTGTAATTAATACGTTTGCTTTTAAATAGAGGAGATAACGTTTACATTCGTTAGTTTGCTAAACACACATTAGACTATTAGACTCGAATTAAAGACATTTATTCGCGATTACCTTTGGGAACGTAGGTATTCCACGATTTGCGAATAGAGGAAAGTCTCGAATAAGGACGTCCTTGATTAGGTCTAGATCTTTGACGACGAGAGTAGGTGTACTCCCTTGAAATATTCCAATCGCTTGCGCGTGTTTGTATTCGTCGTACAGTTTCTTCACGAAAGTGCTTATGGCTATTTTCTGCATGGTCACATCTTTGACGTTACCGAAGAAAATCGTGGGCTTTGGTCCGCGTATGCCACGATTTTTCCAGAAATCATAGTTGGAAATGCAATAGTAGCAAAATGCCACAACTGTTATGGCGAGGCTGCCCAATATTATGTAATAGTCCGCCATACTGTATCGTCTTTCCTTGATAGAATAATAATTAAGAATAGTTATTCATATACGTCACACGTGGAATACTAATGTTCTTAAGAACATTATGGCGCAACAATGAAAGTATCGAACTGATAATAAAAATATTCTGAAATTTTGACAATTTCGTTTTACAAATGAAAAGATTTCTATAGGGGTAACGAAACCGAAAATAATATAAAAACACTTTTAAGTCTACGTCGTTTTTTCAACGAGTTGTACGTAAAAAAAAAAAAACAAGTTACGTGATCTTGAACACTCACGGGTACAATTTTCTTCACATCAAGTTCTCACGAGAGACTGGCTCAAATAAATAAAGGTTCGTCGTATCTCGCGGTTCAGTGTTGATTAAGACTAAAAACTTTACGGACGTTCTTTTGTATACAAGTCGCTTGTTTTCTCGTATGTATTGGATACAACTTTATAAGAGCAATTGATAAAGAATCACGAACGATGACTTGCATAAGAAGAATCACTCTAACTTCAGAACTCCTTTACAATAAATCATGATCTATGACTCTTATCAATCGCGCGACGACTATCTGCGATGGATAGATTTTTTAAGTCTATAACTGGTCAAGGTCGACTCTAGGACCGGTTTCAGGTCTCTGTATGGGGTATACGTAACAAGAAATACTTGGCAAAAGCTAATAAGGAAAACAGAATTATATCATCAAATTGTTGAAAATTATGTTTACGAGATAGTGACTCTACCGTTGATCTTGGAAATTGTTCTTTCATAATTACGCTGATACACTTATCGTCTAATAGAAACAATATTTTTTAACTACCGGTATTAGGTACAATTTATCTTTATTTGCGCTGCTAGACATATTGTTATCTGCTAACTGAAACCAATGACGTCGGTAATATTAACAAGTACCGATAAAGCCTTTTTCTCAAGTATCAATTAATGCTGTCATTGTTATCGTTATGTCATGTACTATATATAACCGCAACTATATATATAAATCTCGCTAAAGTCATGAAGTAACCAATTTAGATACATTATCATACGTTTTATTAACATAGATTAAACCAATCGATTTTGATATACTCATTCATACTCGCGTGTACATAAAGCGTATATGGGGATCAAAAGTGCCCTTAAACCGATTTCGATTGACGGTGATATCTTCGATAGGTTATCATAAAAGACTAATCTTTGCCAAGTTTCAAATCTCTATCTCGACTTGTTGTGAAATAAATCAAATTTATTTCATGACTGGGTGTGATGCGTAGTTTGAAAAATCAAAAACTGATTTTTTTTAGCTGTTTTGGTCTGTTGGAGTAACTTGTATACAGAATTTTTATAATACGTTTTATGAAATACGTAATTCTGAATGTTTTGACATTGATCAAAACAGTACAGCTATTAAGAAAACTAATATAGTAACCCTGAGTATTATCATTCTTATATAATTAAATAGTAGAATTACGTTACTATACGTTACACAAACAAGAACAAATTCATTCATTTCTATATACACGATAGCAAAGTCAGTCTCGATTAAATATTTAATTACTTAAAACTACCTTAACGAAGCCAACATTTTCATACATAGTAAAACACTTAAGGATGATCTGTCTCTTTATTAAATGATATTCGAATTTCTGTGAAAACTAATGCAATTCGTATATAATTTATATGAAAATTTTACTCTACTTTTCGACCTTGGTCAGCTTTAAGTACAAATCATTTTTAGGAGCCAATACAAACGCGAGTGGATGATATTCGTAAGGGATCGGTGTCTTCTCGCAAACGTCGACCTTGTAATTACGGATAATAGTAATAATTCCAACTTTCGATTGAAAGATTGCAAAACGTGCACCTGGAACAGAAAATTTCAAACGTGTACTCGAATCAAGTCCCGATTCCGTGGAATTATTTTTAATAGAATTTTTTCCTCGTACCGATGCAATTTCGTGGACCATCGCCAAAGGGTAAGTAATGCATCGCGTGCCTCGTCTTTTTCACGTCCTCGTCGAACCTTTCAGGAATGAACTTCTCTGGCTCAGGATAAATGTTTGGATCCCAATGAAAGCCGTATATTGGTATCCATACTTTCGTGCCCTTCGTAATGGATACTTTCGTTCCTCGGAATGTATAGTCACCCGTTGCTTCTCTAATTAAAAAGGCGAAAACTGGATACTTCCTCAACGTTTCTACAAACAAAAAATAATATTTTTGATTTTTCTGAAAATGTTCGGCGGTAGTTGGCAATTAACATTTACCGATCATCGTTAACGCCTACCGTGGAAAATCTTGTCTAAGTATACCATTTCCTTCAGGGTCTCGAATTTCCAATCTCCATTGTACTTCGTATGATATTCGTTAATTTCTTGTCGCAACTTCTCCTGTATATCCTGATTGAGTGCCAATTCGTATAGAGCGTGGCTAATGGTGCCAGAGGAGGTTTCGAACCCAGCCGCAAAGAAGGCAAACGCTTGGGCAGCAAGTACCATTTCCGTTAATTCTGTTAGATAACAATCAAAGTCGTCAATCAAACGATGCAACAAAAATTGAGTTTTTCATGTTAACTCGCACGAAACCACTACTCAATCTCTCTTCATCTGAACTCGTATATATTTATACGAATAAATCCAACCTACCAATATCGGAAACTTTTTCTGGATGCCTTCTGAGTTCCAGAAGTATATTCATAAAATCGGGCCTAACGATGTTATTCTTCTCCCTGTATTCCAGTGTTTCACTGGTAATCTTAATAAAAAACTTCGTTAATTCGTTGTACGGCAATACGTAACCAAGTAAATCGAACAGCTTTGGTATGCATTCTTTGACTCGGAATCTCAGCACCCCCTTTAAATCTTTGGCGAAGACTTCTTTGCCCATTTTACGAAATTCGCTTTCAGCGTCTGATAGAGAGTTCATGTCGATCCCGAACGCGCAGCTGCCGATCACGTCGGTGGCGAATTTCGCAGCCAGCTCTCGGACATCGACGGGTTCTCGTTTTGCTACTAGGTAGTCCAGATATTCATCCAGCTGTTTAGCACAGTCGAGAATGAGGGAAAAGGTTCCCTTAAGTTTGCCAGAGGTAAACACCGGCGAAAGTTGGGTCCTCAGCGGTCGCCATGATGAAGCATCCATGACGAAGAGATGTTGGTCCAACGGATCCGCCTATGTGTTTTTTTAATAAGGAGCTATGTATTAATTACATGAAAGCTCTGAGACTGAAGAAAGGGTTTAAAAAATGGCTACATACAAAATTATTGTTACGGTTACATATAATATAATTGTTCGTCCATATTAATCGTTCTCGTCCTTAATGAACGGAACATAACATTGGAAAAATGCCGAATGTACGCATATTTACCACTTTATTTTCCAAGAATCCTCGATTCGCGAACATAGGAAAGTCCTTGATGAGAACGTCTTTGACAAGCTCCGCGTCGTTAACGACAAGAGTAGGTGTCCGTCTAACAAATATGCCAACCATAGGCTCCTCTTTGTACTTCTGGTAGAGTTTCATAGCGTACTCCACTAATGACATTTGTCCCAGCGTATGACCCATGAAATTTCCGAATGGTACCATAGGTTTCGGTCCTGGTACCCCACGATCTTTCCAGTAATTGAATTTCGCGGAAAAATAATAGTACATCGCAAGAAGCACTGCTGCGATACCGCAGATCAGCTCCATGGTGCTGATCATATTGACTCTGTGTGTTTGTCAATTATTCGGCTGTTAGCGGTGTTGTGCTGTAAAGTATAAACAATATATTCATGTATTCTTTTAGAAGAAATTACTCTTAATGTTCGAATAATTAAGTCAAATTTCGCGCGCTTAATTAGGTGCCAGCGTCTCTATCGGGAAAACGTCCAAATTTGTCCTCGATAGTTTCTATTTTCACGTCTAGATGGCGCCGTTTACGCTGTTTTTTTACCGACACAATCGGTACATTACCATCATATCGGTAATTACTATACCCAAAGCGCGGATGCGATGTATGCGATGAAGCATGTTATCATTTTATTTGGGTGTATTGTAAAGCTTTGCGCTTATATTTAGTCAAGAAAAAATATTTCAGTGACAATGTAATGAATGTACTATGTGTCGATATAAAATATCGCAAATAAACATATAAAGAAAAATAGTATTCTACGATTGCACAGGTTTTAAACACTTTTCAAGAATTAAAAAAGCCTAATTAGAATAGGGTGCGTTGTAATAATTGAAAATCGTGAGTAATACCTGAATTGGAAACTTTGTTCACTTTGAAATCTTCTCTGAAGAGTTTGTTAGCTCGTTTGATATCTTTTACTGACGAACGCGATACTTTCTGTCTGGCACTGACTGTCGTCCACAGTATAATGCAGAGATTCTAATCCTCCCCTCATAAAAACGAAAGTACGAATTGTCGAGTCATGTTTATGTCTGGCAGCTATCTCCAGATTTCTGCTCTGGATATTTGTGTCGCGAGTTCAGGGTTTCTCAAATCAGACTCCACGTGCCCTCGGAGGTAAAGAAAATATTCATATTCGAAGTTCTGTAACTCGAATCTCAAGCAACGAGCTAAAAATTCTAAAAGTTATGAATATATTTTACGGACAAAGTTTAAGTTGAATAATATGAAACTATTTGACTCGAACGATGGTATTTACAGTGGTCCATTGGAACGCGAAGTTTGAGAAACTCGGGCATGGTAGATAAGGGTTATTCGTTTCCAAGTATGATCACTAACTATAAATATACGATAGATTTATAAGTTGAATCAAATTGAATACATAGGTGTGAAGACTAGGTGTATACCTTCTGTTCAACGCAATGAAGACATAATTTACTCTTTTTGTTTTAAACTGTAGACTTTTATCCTTAGACTCGTTAGATTCCGATTTATTTCAAGTTCGGTTTCTAATACAATTCGGTAGTTAGAAACTATTGGGTTGTCTGGAAAGTCCATGCCGATTTGTAGTAGGCGGTGCAGGTCTGAATATCGGAATGGTTGAAAACAAATTAACATGTGAACATCCCTTAAATGGTGGAAAAATTGTGGAACAAAATGGCACATATATAATTCAATAAATATATATCGAAATTCAAACGTGTCTTTGAATGTTTCTTAAAAATTTCCACGAACTTTCTGGACAACCCAATACATTACCGCTACGTTCCTACTTCTGTTGTATTATATTACGAAAAAGCTCGAGAGAGGAGTTTTGGTGTGCCTTATAAAGATTTGTGTTTAAGGATTCAGAAGGTGGTGAAAATAAGAGAAAGGACTAATGAGAATCGTTGTTATTCGGAGTTAGTGAGTAAGTGTACAAGGGTCGGATGCTTAGTTGGTGTATGGGGACGGATGACTAGGTTTGAAACTTAAAAATATTAGGTTGTCCTAAAAGTTTCTTTCGTTTTATTAATAAGTAATACATACACAATATTTGATGTCTAATGTTACATTATCGAATTGTGTACGATTCATTTTGCTCCATTACTGTTACAACATCAACATCTAAGAAATTAGATTGTCTATTTATATAAACACTACCGTACAAAATAATTCAGTGCAAATTACGAAAGAAACTTTTGGGACAACCTAATATTAGCTTATCCCATGAAGATAAAACTACTGACTAACCTAAAGTAGCGAAGATTAGATGGTACAGGAGATACATATTAACCTAAATGATATCCAACAGACTTAATATGCGTTGAAATTATTGCTTGTCATCGGATGGTGATAGTATCAGGAGAAAGGCCGATAGTTTGGTATTTTTAGGAGGGATTAACGAGCATAGAACTCTTGAATGTTGAGTCACTCGAGTCGTATCTTATAATGACTCGACAGTATAATATTCGATTCACCGTATTGTGTTGTATACTTGTCAGCTATTATTACTGTTATCTTGCTTGTGCTTTCCCGAAACCAAAATGAGTTGCATGTATTGGATTTGAGTCGAAAACGAAATTCAAAACGAAAGCTCAAAAGTTCATCGAATACCTTCTCGTTATTTCTTTTTCTTTAAACAGATTAATATCGAACACATCACAATTTGGACAGATCGGGATAGTGATGAATCGGATACACAAGTATGAATACTCTTGTTTCCTTTGGTATAGAAAGCTTTATGCTCTCGAACGTGTAGTCCTCAATTAATTTCTCTCAATGTACATTCGAATTAATAGCCATACAAGTAATTACTCTTAATATTCGCATAACGAATTTAAATTTCGCGCGCTTTTCAAAGTATAGCAAGTCGCCATCTAGCGGTTAATAAGACGAACTAGTTTTCGGAGTTTAGTCAGCACCTCTATCGGGAAAACGCTCAAGTTTGTTCTCAATAGTTCCTTCTTTCACCGCTAGATGGCGCTTTTAGATGGTAATTACCGACATGATGGTAATGTACCGATAGTTGTCGGTAAAAAACAGTGTACATGGCGTTAGACGTGAAAATAGGAACTATTGAGGACAAACTTGAGCGTTTTCCCGGTAGCGACGCTGACCTAACTCCTAAAATTAGTTTGGCCTATTCATTGGTAGATGCCGCCTAATTAAGCGCGCGAAATTTAAATTAGTTATGCGAACATTAAGAATAATTTCTTCTAACATTTTTCAACACTCTGTCATGACTCGACACGTATCTTTACTATCATTTTATGTAATATGTTTGCAGAAGATTTTACATTGTGAACATTCAAAAAAGTATTTGCTATATTAATATCCAGAGAAAATAGGTCGACAGAAAAAAGCACATGTTATGTGTATTTAAATTTAATAATTATAATAATTGTAATGTGGATATCGTCTGCTGCAGTGCCTGCGGTCGTGTTAGATCTGTAATAAAAGTAATTGTGAATACAGTATTGATAACGATTCTGCTTATTGTTTTTGTGACGACTCTACATTTTTCTTTATGTCGGAATCTTTATTTCTTATCAACATAAATAAATGAACTGCGTTATAAAGCGCTAAGAACCTAAAAAGACTGATCATTGTTATCTATCCGGCGTCTGTTTTTTTTTTCAGTTGTGCATACGTTTATATTTTCGTATTTTCACTTATTAAAATTTCCAGTTTCCGCTACGCTGTTTCGTTTTTTTAACAGTTCAACGATTGTTGTATGAATTAGTGTTTTTGCGCATTACGTATGATGAATAAAAATTAATGTAAACTTGATTTATGCGAAATACGTAGGTTATAGGTTATCTGCCTTCCGATTTTATTTTGGTGCTCGTGTTCGATTTCTTCTTCACTGATATTTTCTTAATAAAAATAACGTTTGTATAAACCATCAGTTGCGTGTTCAGAAGTCTGCAGGTAATATTGTATTTGTGTAAATAATTTTTGTCTCATCAATTTCGTCTAACCTTCAGACAATTGACTTGACAATAATTTGTAACTAGAGATAAGATACATATGTATAAGTAAACAGTGTTCATTTATGCTAAATATCACTCTTAATCGTTAAAAGAAAAACGATTGGTGTACATTAATTTTTCGTTAAATTAAGGAATGGCTTTTGCTATTTTACGTTTTGCCCACAGGAATTCAGTGAAACTTCTCTCTGTTTCCACCATGACTACATCTGTGTCAGTTGACGAGCGTATGTTGAAGGGAATAAGAAAAATAATTCCAAATTTAAACAATATTAAATACAAAGGCCAAGATGGCAGAATTGGCATATTTGGTGGTAGTACAGAATATACCGGTGCACCATATTTTGCCGCTATGAGTGCACTTCGCACAGGATGCGACTTAGTGCACATATTCTGTGCAAAGGATGCAAGCATTCCTTTAAAGTCATTTAGCCCAGAGCCTATCGTTCATCCAGTTTTAGATCAATACGATGCAATCAAACAAATAAGACCTTGGCTTGATCGTTTACATGTTATCATTATTGGCCCAGGCCTTGGTAGAGATGACAAGATTTTCAAAACAATCGTTGAATTAATTTCAATTTGTCGTGAAGTGAAGAAGCCATTGGTAATCGATGCAGATGGGTTATTCTTAGTGAGTCAGAAACCTGATATCATAAAAGAATATCCAGGTGTTATTCTTACTCCGAATGCCATGGAATTCAGTCGTCTGGTAAAAGGAGTACTTGAAAAATCTGTTCAACCTACACCACTGGTGAAAACTGCAGATGTTAAGCATTTGGCCGATGCATTAGGAAAAAATGTAGTAATTTTGCATAAAGGAGCAAAAGATGTAATTGCAGATGGGCATAAAGGTACCGAAGCGGTCTCGTGTGGATTGGCCGGCTCTGGTCGAAGATGCGGAGGCCAAGGGGATTTATTAGTTGGCGCATTGGCTGTATTCTGGTGGTGGGCTATTTGCGCAGGAAGTAGCGAGAGCGCTTTGTCGTCTCCTATAGCTGCAGGCTATGCTGCATCAAGATTAGTAAGGGAGTGCAATGCATCTGCATACAAAATAAAACAGAGAGGAATGCTGACATCCGATATATTGGAACAGATACAGCCTGTTTTTGCAAGAATCTTTGAAACTCATTGTAACAAGTGAGCCATTTGATTAAAATGACTTTGTACTTGATTTTGATGTATAATATTTTTGTAAAATGCTTTTATATTTTTATGGGAAGGTTTCTAAGTGGGGAGGTTTTTCTTGTATATGTATCTGTTATGTATATGGTAATTAACAATAAACAGTAATCTCATTAATATTGATTATAGAACATCTTCGTTCAATGGAAGAAGTCGAACACGGAGCATTGATTCCTGAATTGTACTCATTTTGTTAATACATTTTTAAATTCCGACTAAAAATGAAAGAGTCGTTTCTATTTCGATTTACCGGCGCGCTATTAATCTAGAACATGTTTTAATTATATTCAGGCGAAGAATCATACATTCAGGAACTGAACGATATAATTATTACTAATATAATTAATACTAGATTTTTAATGTCGTTGAATGCATTACAAAATAAATTACATGTTTCACAATTATGTGTAGATTACATTTTACTTATTTTGCTTGAGTTATCATATGTACAAGTGGTGCATTTGTATTAAATGTTTCGTCTGGAAAGAGATTGCCCTTTACATAGTTATCAATAGACGATATTATGTTTGCGTTCACAGAATTAATTGGTTAATTGACATTATTTTATAAATATAAATCATGAATTGGAAATAGAGAATATTCATTTTTTGTTTTGCTGTCTGAATTCTCTACTACATGTTTAATCCTATTACAAAAACAATTACTAAGTTAATGGATTATATGTCGCTAAGTTGAGTACATGCTTAGAAAAAATGGTCGGTCATATTTTCAAACCGTTTCTAGTGTTCACACATAATATAAAAGTCGTTTATTATTAATCTAACTAAATAAGACAATTTCTCGTGCTTAGGCAGAGCACATTTTTCATGGAGTTTGTATTAT